TTTTTTTTTTTGTCATCTTTGAACGATGCAGCTTGTTGGGTCTTGAATAAGGGTTGAGACGAGGAGGAAGAGGGATGGATGCATGGAGGGGGTTGACGTGGTCTTTTTCAGGCTTGGAATTCAGAAGAGGTAAGTATGATTAAGTTTAAGTATCTCAAACTCTCGGGGGTTGCTGGCACTTGCTGTCCACTTCTGCAATCAGCAGTTGGTGCGAAGAACCATCGACTGGCACTACATTGTTGTTGTTGTTTGTTCGTTTTGCTTGTTTGTTTGTTTTGTCTTGTTTTGTTTTGTTTTGTTTTGTTTGTTTGCTTTTTTTTTTTTTTTTTTTTTTGAATTTTAATCCGGACCGTCCGGGTCCGGTCTTGTCCGGTGTCCGGAAGATGTCCGGATTGGACCAGACACAGGTCCAGTTTTGTGTCTGGACGTGCTGGGTGTCCGGGTCCGGGGTAGCCATGCTTTTCGGGCCCCACTTCTGGAAAACAATGAGCGGAGGATCTCCGCCGCTTATCTTTGCAGATCAGCGGCGAACAACCGCCGTGCGCGCTTTCTCAAAAATTAGGGGCTCACCAGGCCTCATATTTCGATTTGGCATAGTGTGGTTCGACAGACCATGGACCAGGCGTCATTGGCATAACATACTCGTCCATCCTCAGCCACGAGAGAATATGCTTGGGCAACGGCTCTCCTGAGGTTATATGCTTCTGCAACATCACTAAGCTCTGGGGAACGAATTATGGGTTTGGGTTTCTGCTGTCTGAGGTGCAAGCCCAAGAATGGACCTAAGCTATATTTTTCTCTGAATCTATCTAGAATGGACCTGGCTCCACTACATGTATCTGGACAGACTGGCACGTGAGATACTTTCAGACTGAGGACACTGATGACCCAGCGTATGAAAAAAAAACAAATAAAAAAACAAACAGAAAACGCTCTGCCTGCACAAGCTGAAACCTGGCCCCATAACTTTTCCGCCGTCGAGCTATAGGGTCTCGCTCCACTACTGTCCACTGTACAAATTTTCGGGCATTTCTTGGACAGTTGTCAGAGCCAAAAATTGTACAGCGGACAGTGGAAAATGCGACATCGCTCCACTTACTGTCCGCTGTCCACCTCTCAAATTCGTGAGTTCACTACGGACGCAGTGATAGAACTACAAGACAGGGCGTCCAAAGGATTTTGTCCGCCCGGACGCTAGRTGCACTGTCCAAATTCGGGTCCTCACGGTGAGTCCCTTGAAGGACTTTCCACTAAACGAATTTTGCAGGCTGGGAGCTGTACATTCACGGACAGTAGATTTCCGACGGGGTTTCT